AATGAGTGTTTAACGCCTCAATAGCAAAGTAATTTGTTTCCCTTGTAAAAAATCCACAAAACACATTTACGCTAGAGAAGAGCCAATTGTAGATTGAAGCAAATAGCACATCAAGAGTAAAGTAAGTTGGTGCTTGACATTTTTCCAACAATTTGGACAAACCCACCTTGCGGTCCAGTTTACTGCAGTGGTTGAATTAGCTTTTTCCACCTATAGCATGCCAAAATTTACTACTCCGCCCATATGCACGTCCCACATCCATTCATTCCAGTCTAGACAAAACTTATTGTGTTTACTCCCCTTGTGTGTGCAAAGGCATCCTTTTTGCCCAGGATGGGTAACTGGACGAAATCGACTCTGGTTTGATCTGAGTGACTGTTGACCGCATAACACTTCTACTCACCTAGTTCCATTTGCAAAGTCACGGGTCTCAAACTGACAGTGGCAAATTCTTTAGGCATTCACTTCAAACCAAATGCCTTGTAATATCAGTATAGTCAAATTGTTGTTACTTTGCACTTGTGGCAGAGGAGTAAGGTAAACTTACGTTATTTATCGATAAGAATTGGAGAGATTATTTAGTTTTGCTTGCAATCAACTTCCATTTCAAAGCGAAATACCAGCACCTAAAGGAGTGCAAGGTTGGCGATATTCGATTCCACGACACCTTTCCCCTGCAATCATTTGACTACCAATAAGTCGGAAGTGAAGACTGCAGGTATCTTCAGTCATTTTTACAATTTGTACCCGTTTATTCGTCAATTCATTCTGGAAACCAAAATTCCCTGTCATAAACCAAAACCCGACACTCCATCATTTCGGTTTTTTCACACTTCTCTTTAAGCACTCGCATCTGCTGCATTCTGCGTTACCAGGTACTTGCTAGAATTTAGAAGTGTAGAAAACTATTATGATGCCCTGAAAGAAATAAAGCGCCATCATACCTTCCCCGTGCAGTTACAAGTCTCTATAGGCGTGTGTGATGGCTCGGTGTAGTATTCCAATCGGTAGGCTGGTATTGTAATTCCTCTCCAAAGGCATTGCCTTTGCAGGCACTGCGAATACCGTAACCAAACGGTACTAAGGATGCGGGGTGAAAGAAACCTGTCAAACGTCATGAAGTCAGAACCCCCAACAACAGCCTTAGTTGTGCACGCTCGAATGCATGGTCCCTTCATTCCAGAGTCATAGCAGCATTAACGCTTTTCTTCTTTTGAACACTATATTTCGCGTATCACATTTCGTAAACCATAGGCTTCATTTAAACATCACAGGTGACAGGAAAGCAACGGAAACAATTACGGAGGAATGCCGGTGCAACTTGACGGCATTGTGCTCGTTCCAATAGCATGCAGTGAATTGAGGGATGGAAAAAATATGTTATTGTCTAACATGACATACGTCAACAACGTTGGAGCACACCAGTATTCCTCTGAATTTGCCCATGCACCACAACCATCATAGGCGCCTTTAAATGAAGGCATTGTTCCCTGAAACAGGAATTATCATTTGTCCTGCACGTCGTAACAAAATTCGAATTTTCTTGCTTGCCATAAATAAAACCCTCAAGTAATTTTTCTAATAAGAATTGTTTCTGTGTTTTGCAAGGTTTTCTATGCAAGCTAATTACCTTGAACTCATTTACACCTGATCTGGTAAAAGTGCACCCTACTTAAGCAAAGGCCATGAGAGAACACTGTGCGACGCGTGGTCTCGCCTTGTTGACAGAAGACGCAGGTGTATTTGTCGTCTCAGTACCTGAGTGAAATTTTATTAGTCCCCACATATGATTAGTTATTTAAAAATTTATGGGTCTAAAAATGAGGAGGCTTTGGGGACTTACGAATGCCTTATGAATATGCGTGCAATTTATACAGCAATACAGGGAATGCGCTTGAAAGCTTGAAGAATTAAACAACGAATAAAGGTATACTGGTGAGGAAGAAAGTTGCCAAGTTTGTTAGCAGAAACCAGGAATGCAGTTGCATGTAGTTCCAAAAGATGCGCTTCATTCGTCCGCAGAGTCAGCACAAACACTGACTTGAGCACGCCTAAAACAGGAAATTGGGCATTTCAGCACAAAGCTCCACATAATTCGATAATGCAGCATTTTACCTCAGTTTTTTGTGCATGAAATTTGAAAAGGGCCAGATATAGAATGTGTTTTGAACAAAGTATTGCTAGACTGGTAGAAGTGTTCACACCAAATTTGACAAAGCTCTGCCAGTTAAATGAGAACTCGTTTTTCTCAACACTATTTTATAGCCTTGGAAAACAAATGCATTTTATACAAACAATTGCATGATAGAAAACAAGTACTTTTGTGGAATGTACAATCAGTCATGCATGGAGAGTTTAATGTTTTCAGGTCATTGGCCTCGCAAATTCTTTGACGTACCTCCATCAGTGTGGGCCAGCACATGTCCTATGTGATGAAGGTATGACAAATAGGGCAACATGTAATGAACTGTCAGTTTGGGTGCCCACATCCAAATTTTAGCTTACCTGCTTTGCAATCGTTTGTTCAACTTACTGAGTGGTGCTTTTGCTATTTGCGATAAATTGTTTTTGGAAGGGGCATAAACTCAAGGCAAACAGTCGCAGCATGTCATTTCGTAGGTTGTATCGGCAAGTTTAGCGAAATATGCACTCAACCGAAGAAGTCCCTCCCGACAATAAAATATGAACACAGCCGCATTCATCAGCATTAAAAGTGCGCGCCGGTACTGCAAATCTGCTTAAAATACTAGGGACTAATTTATGTCTGTCATAACAAGCCGTGATTAACATTTATTTGAAGCAGCTTCGATCAGCTTATTTACTACTGTGCATGTTTACCAAATGAGGGCAACGTACTCTGAGCCTCCCAGTATCCTGAAAGATAAAATACGCAAAAATTGGGAGGTTTGCAGCAGTTCGCAAAAATTGTTAATAGCGTGATAGACTTTGGAGGCAATTAACAGTCGCTGATGTTGAAGGGATCTTTGGGAAGAAGTTGGGCTACGTTAAAGTTACGATTGCATTCTGCGACTTTCGGTGACGTTCCTGAAAACAAGGTCAGGCTTCTTAATGCATAGTAGCAAAAGCTTTCGACTGGTTCCATCTTGATGCAGCGCATACAGCACCACTAGACTGTTTTGTTAGCCGACAAATACACCTAGGTTAAGAGAAAGGGACTAATTAATACTACTTATCGCAATTGGCATAATTGCAAATGTGCAATTCTCCTACTAGCCACTGTCAAAAATAAACGGTTAGAAGCCCAAACGAAAGTGGCATGCGTTATAGGAGGTATTGGAGGGGATTTTCCGTGGAAAACCCGCAAATTGGAAGTCTTGTTTTTCTCCAAGACAGCTGCGAAGTTAAGCAGTAACATCGGTTCAGCAAATGCACTTTAAAGTAGTACAAATAGGAATGTGGTCTTAAGAAGACGGCAAGATGTGATTGTCAAAGTGTTTGAAATGACGCCATTGTCTTTTTATACTCTTCTGATTTGTCCAAAGTGCACACATAATAAACTCATGATTGCATATAATCAATTAAATTTATAACGTGTTAAACTTACTACACACTACGCTTTCATTACGCACGAGTTCAATTCCTCTCCATCCACAGAGCCACACTCCGTTCAGGAGGAACGTAACCTAATCAAAATAATCATGCGTCTTTTAAATAAATAGTAATCGTTCGAGACTATGCTTGTAAGTTTCAATCAGCACAGATGTTTTGAAATAATTGCCACTATTATAGCTAATTTAAATCAAAGGAATTTGATATACCTCTCCATTGTTATCTGCCCCTCCAACAGCAAAATTGATTTGATAGGATTGTTGGCATTTGACAAAGCACGAGAGCGGAAACGACGTTCGCAGATCAACTTCGTTTGTCATTACGCACATTACGACAGTAGAACTTTGAAAGTTGCTGCAAGATAACTGAAGTTGACCACCTGATACCTTCAGCAGGTGCTGGGAAATTGCAGTATGGCACAAAGAGTGTGGTTGATAAGAGGCCGCCCACTACTGGATGCTTATAGACATCAACCCTTTTCTGCAAAGATACGTCATTTGCGGTGATGGTAGTGTTATCTGACTGTTATTTTTCACCATGTTTTCTCCTTTTCTTCATTTATTATCAAAGGAGATAATCAGCCAGACGCTAAATCTCATGCAGACGGAGAGTCGTTTTAGGACCTGCGAGACGATAACACTCACAACTGTCTCTCAAAGAATAGGTAA